TTGCATTCGGTTTGGTCTTCTGCTGCTGTTGCTCGTCTGCTTCAAAGCTCAACGTGCTGTGCATTCAGATATGCTCTTCTCCTTGTATGCAGATGGCAAGAAGTGGTTATTTGAGTTACTGTTAGCTTTCTAACAGCTCAAACACTGTTAATTCCCCTCAGACCTCGACAAGACCTTTCACTCAGAAAACAAATGCTGGATTTTTTTTATTTTTGCCTCATTCTCTGTAAACCCTAGACTTGGTTGTGTGGGAAAATCAAGTTTTTCAAATACTCACCAGAACCAGTCTGGCATCAGCAACTGACTCATTCACTTTTCTTCCTCATTCTGAAGCAAGGTTTGAACTTCTGTAGATTTTCATTGAAATCTGTAGATTTCATTGAACCACTGACATGATTGAGTGTATTCCTGTATTGTTATTGATGGCTGCCTAGTAACATAAAAAAATCTGTTGACACAGCACATGTATATTTTTTTTTTATTAAGCACAGCATATAAAGCGCTGCTTATATGATGCTATGAACTCTGGGTGATTAACTTCAATATTTGTTGTGGTCAGCAGCTGAAACAGCTTTGGGATATCTGAAGAATTTAAGTGTATCGTAATTTAGAGATGACACTTCACTGACTTTTATTTGCTTTCATAATTAAATAAAATATGCTTGTGTGTTGTGATGTAGGCTGATAAATTGCATAAGATGATTATCATTTTTGTATGTACAATACTATGCAAAAGTTGGGTCACCCCTCATTTGTTTAGATGTTGCTCCTCAAAAAGTTAATAGATGCAGTGATTTTATTAAAACATGTGCAAACATACATGGAAATGAAAAATATAAAACAGAAACGGAGTTAATGCAATTTAGGTGCACCCCGCCTCTAGCTCTGCGACAGCCTACATCAAAATACACAAGCATAGTTTATTTAATTATGAAAGCAAAGGATAAGCGAAAGAGAATTAATGGATTTCTAAAAGAAACTAGAAATGTTTATAAAATAAATACGAAAGAGCTTATAGGATACAATTTAAAACTGGTTCTTTATCAAGTTGTTTTTTATGTTTTATGGTTTAATGATTCACAGGTCAGCGTTAAGTGGTTTAACAAACAATCAAAACTTTCCACTGAAAATGGTCAGGTGCAAGAACTGGACTGAAAACGAGTGAAAAAGCAGCCAGTGTCCAAAGAATGGAGAAAAAAGTTTGGAACAAAATATAAAGAAATGAGAGAAGGTTGAAAACTTGTATAAATGTATTCAACTGACTTCTGAAACAGTCACGAGGCTTCATTAGGATCATTTCCCCAGGGACTGGTGTGTACATGAGCGACAGGACGGACTGATTTTACATCACCACTTCTCTTGAATTCTTTTTTGTAACAGTCACCGGTTAATGGTAAGCGTATAGAGTATATATTCAGCCATGCTGGCGCGCGCTTTTCATCGCAGCCTGGCTCGCGCAGCTGGACTGTGCTCGTTATAAAAGCTCCAGCCGCTTCTCCGCTCTCCCTTCAACATTTTCATTTCTTTCTGGCCGACTAGAGGATAGCAGGAACTCATTCCCGGCAGCAGCAGCATGCAAACTTTCCTCGGAATCCTGCAGCTTCTGCTGGTCCTTCAGCGGGTACCTGCGCAGGTAACTCCACCACCAATAGGATATTCTCTCTTTTTTTTTCTTTTCATTTTTCCTTTTAAGGTAAGGGTTTAAGACCCATCACTGCATTATTTATCAAAGTTAAAGCGGGCTAAACATGAGACTGAATCTCTCTGGCTGGAGTTTAGTGAAGTTAAAGAGAATTAACGTTGTTCTTTTTTTCCCGACTTTTCACTTGATTCCACGCGTGACAGCATAAAACAACTGTCACGCGTGCATACCCCCACAGTGAATGCACTATCTGCATTCATAGTGGGTTACCAATAATCTGTGTAGACGTAACTAGCGTCAGATGTGTTGCTCATGCACACAGACAGATTTAAAGCTACGGGCCCCAGAGCTCAGCTAGAGGCTGTAATGTGGCTGAAACCGCGCTCACAAGCTGTAATTTTGCATGCGATTTGCATGTTCCCTGGCTGTTATTAAGGAGGTCGTGACATTTTCTGCGTGATTTTCCCTTGGTTACTTCTTCTTGGTGTGCAGCTTCATACCCGAGGCCACACAGGCACATTTAGTATCACCCAGCAGGGCGCTAAGCGTACAACGAGTATCCGTTACAGTGATAAGGTGTAGGGTTTGTTGGTTTTTTTAACACACTGCAGAATAGTTTTAGTATCCATTCCCAAAAGCTTCTGGGATGTGTGAGTTGAAGAAGACTTTAGCGTCACCTTCAAAAATATTGCATTAGACTAACGAAGATCTCCTTTGTGCTATGCAGACTGCGTGAGACAGAACCACTGGTTAGTACCATTATTATGAATCCCATTATGGGTCACAGATTTAGTCTGACCGGAGGCCATTTATGAATCTGTCCCCTTCCTTTCCTCATAAATTACAAACCTAATCAATGCACTGTGTTGTTCGCAGCACGTCATGGCTGAATACAGCTGTTGTATGCAGCTGGTCCAACTGGTGGATGCTGCGGCACATTTAACAACTCTTGGCAGAAGCCAACTCGTTAAATTATGCTCTTTTATACTGCCTGAGCTATAGAAGCGGTGTCTGTGTGTGAGATTAGGAAGACTCCGTTCCCATCCGTGTTCGCAGGGTTATGAGGCCACGAGAGAAGTTTAAAAAAGAGAAAGAGATCTCTTACATTCAAAAGGCAGAAGAGAGCCAAGATCAACTGTGCACGCCCCAATTTGTGGCTCAAAAAAATCGGGAATTTTGCCAGCCCTGAGTCTGCAGGTCGGGCTGTGAGAACTTCAGAAAATTCATGCTGTGTCACATTTTACTTTTCACTTTTTCAGCATCGCTTTTACTTTGGCTGTGGTTAGTGTGTAACAGTCCCACGAGAGAATGCTCAGCTATTCTCAGCAGCTATTCTTCACTGTTATTCTTTGCATGTTTTCAAGGCTTTTTTGACCGCGTGATAATAAACCTTCTTGCGACCAATTGAGAAATCAGAAGCACTGCTGTTGTTTGCTGGCTCATTTTACAGCTTTTTTTTTTTTTCCCCTGCCGCTTTTCAGCCGCACAGCAGTGCGCTCCTCACACCATATTGCGTCATCCTTTTTTATTATCTCGTCAACGTGCCTGCACTAGTTTTATCTTTACACCAGAGGGTGCTCCGTAGCTGCAATGAAAACCATTTCCACCATGCCTGGTTCTTACTAGAGAAAGTCTCCTCAAGTGCTGTGCAATGCTGCTAATATTGATAATGATCTTATACCAAGTAAATACATGGCCAGGACTTTAGGTCACATTATGTAGTTTAAATCTCATACAAACATGCTTTATGTAGTCCTGTGTTGATGGTCTGTTATATCTTACATGTAGCACCATGGTCTTGGAGGAACGGTTTCTAGTTTCATCGTGTACTGTAACTTGACATGCCATAGATTATTAATCAAACAGATGGGATATTCAACACAACATGGTTGAGACATTTTTCATAGTGCATGTCTCATATCTATTTGTTCCCCCCCACCCCCCCACCCCCAAGATATTTTAGTTTAACACAATTCAGTGGGCTACATACTGACATTCATAGATAGATAGAGAGATAGTTGGTATAGGTATTATTATAGGTCTTATCAATATCTGTATTGATCTAGCAACTTCTAGGCTCCTGGCTATTTGCTGGTCCTGTATTATCTCCAACAATGTTTGGCTCTTTAAAAAAAACAAAATAAATTGAATTATTTTTATTATTTGCAGATGTCAGATGAAGGGGGTCCCAATACAGGTAAGAGTGATGCTCTTTATCATGGCCCACTGAAAAGGCTCTCCTACCTGCTGCAAATGACTTAAAGATTAAGATCCAACCTCTTATGTAGTAATTCAGTTGTCTGAGGTGATGGCAAAGTGCTCGTGTCAGGTCATGGACCAGCTGGTGTATGTGTACGATGAGTACCCCCAGTCGGTGGAGAACATCTACGTACCTCACTGTGTGGTGGTTCGCCGATGCTCTGGTTACTGTTCGGGCGAGGAATTCAAGTGCCTTCCTACCCTCGAACGCAACGCCACTCTGCAGGTGAATCAAGTTCTGTTCACATCGATTGTATTTATGTAACACTACAACAACAGTCGCCTCAAGGCACTTTATTGTTAGAAAAAGACCCTACAATATTGGCAAGAAAACCCCAACATTCAGACGACCCCCTGTGAGCAAACAATTGGTGACGTGGGAGGGAAAAAATCCCTTTTAACAGAAAGAAACTTCTGGCAAACCAGGCTCAGGGAGGGATAGCCATCTGCTGTGATCGGTTGTGTGACCATGTAGCAGAGAGTCAGAGATTAAAAACAAGTAATGATGATATGCAGAGCAGTGTATAAGACAGAGTCGAAAAAGGTGATTCGGCCTATTGAAACATAACTAAGGGAGGGTTAAGGATCACCTGATCGAGCCCAAACTATAAGGTTTATCAAAAAGGAAAGTCTTAAGCTTAATATTAAAAATAGAGAGGGTGTTTGTCTCCTGCCTCCAAACTGGTTCTGCAGAGTGGCCTGAAAGCTGAAGGCTCTGCATCCCATTCTACTTTTAAATACCATAGAAACCTTATGTAAGCCAGCAGTGTGAGTGGGGTTGATATGGTATGATGAGGTCTTCAAGATATGATGGCGCCTGATTATTCAAGACCTTGAGAAAGAGTTTAAATTTGATTCCAGATTTAATGGGAATCCACTGAAGCGAAGCCAGTATTGGAGAAATATTTTCTGTTTGGATTCAGTGTTTACCTTCATGTAGAGTTTCAGCTTCTTCTTTTTTATTTTCTCAGCTGAAGATTTCTTCCCAAGAACAGCCCATGGTGGAGCTCACATTTCTAGAACATCAGCAGTGCCAATGCAGGTCCTTTACTGATAACCTCATCTTTCTATTAAACACTAAATCCAAGATTATTAGTTATGCCACAGCTGACTTCTAAATGTGTCTGTGGTTTGTTTCTTCTCTTAGAGACCCTGAGAATCTTCAGTACTATGAAAGATCAGTAATTAAGTCAGTAAGTAACACAGTGAGTAATGAGTGTTTTGTCTATGAGAATTGAACGCCTCAATATTTCTGACGTCTTTCTCCTGCAGCAGCAGCAGCAGCAAGTCCACTGAGAGCAGACCTCGGAGGAGGAACCGTACCAAGAAATGGCTGTAGAAAGTAAGAGAGTGATTGCTCCCCTGTGGCACTCACACACACTTTTCTTTTTAAATAATGTTTGGGCATTTACAGCAACATTCATCAGTGTTTCCTCCCCTTTGCCAGACCACCAAGGGCAGCAAAGCTAAGCAATATCATAATAGTCTGGGTGCTGCCGTGTTGCTCTTCCCTTTGATGACCCTGGATAAATTCAACAAGTACTTCTGATGAGTCTGCGCTTCTGTAAGGTCGCGAAGTATTTGCAATAGTCCAGGGTTACTGATAGTCTGAAGGTTAAGTTTAAAAATCTTCTATCGGAGAGAAAAAAATATCATGCATGAGGAAGCGCCGAGGCTTCTATACCTACATTCATAGTTACAGCAGGCAGCCGAGCCTCTGAGCGCACAACTCTTCACTATGTTTGCACTAACTCATAGGTTTATTTTTTTTTCTGGCATTTGGGGATAACGTCCACTCTAACTTTGAAATTGCATCTGACAACATGTTCAAATCTAACCTCTGCGCAGGGGAAGATACATTTTATTTATCAGGATTTCAATAAATCCAAGCAGTTCAGTCCCAGAGCAACAGCAGAGCCATCATTTTACAGACAGATCAGAGACACTACCAGCTCTCTCTCTCTCTCTGTGCTTTTTTCTTTTATTATTGATTTTTTTACAAGGGGAATTATTATGTAACGAGCAGTAAATTAATGCACAATTACAACTTTGCCTCAAAGAGTGAAATGGGTACATTGTAACCAACAGCATCAGGTGGCACCTTATGAAGTTGCTCTGCATAATGGCCTC